ATTGTTAAATTATTAATTCATTTTTAATTTTTTATCGTTAACAATTCGTAATTAACAATTAGAAATTCCCATCGCTAAACACGATACAGCGATAATACAAAGTAATGAGCTATTAAAAATTAAATATTCTTATATTCTACTGAATTTGATTAAATAAAGGTTAAATATAAACTATCGAACAAAGTGATATATTAATTGTTTAAAAAAACAAGCATTCTTAAATTTTAAAGTGATATGATTGGTGTAATGCAAGTTTTAGTAAAACCAAATCAATTCAAAATTGAAAAAAGCATTACAGTCAGACCTCTCTAAGTGCATGCCCTTGGACCACATTTTATAACACGCATTTAGAGAATAATAAGAAAAAATGCATTTATAGAGGTCAAGTTTATATTTGAACCAGAATCTAAATGTGCATTTAGAAAGGGTGCGCACTTATAAAGCACTTATAGGTCTGACCATAATTTGATTTGTCAATAAAATCATGTTTTTGCACTATCACGTGACAATTAAAGTCAACTTGGAGTCGACTTGAAAGGACCTGACTAAAAGTTGACTCGGGGTCAGAAAATCCGAGTCGTTTAACACCCCTAGCTGCTAAAGCATCACAAAATGCAACAGAAAATTGATTTTCAGGAGCAAGACGATAATTAATTGCTAATTATAGAGAATAAAAGGTTAAAAATATATCTTTTATGAACTAAGAAATACAGTGACTAAAAATTTAAATAATTTTACCAAAAACTGAACATTCGGCAATTTCATAAGTTATATTGTGACATATTTTAGATGATCCCATAAAATATCCTCCACCATACATGAAAAGCACAACCCTTTCTGTATCTTTCCTATCTTTAATTTTAACACATTCTCCGGATAATCCATTATTATTAAGATCTTGCCATTTTTCATCAATAACGTCTTCGTATATTTTCAACCTATTCACTAAATATTCCTTGCTTTTAATTACATATTTTTCATCCAATTTAGTCTTATCCACAATGCATTCATCTGAAGTTGGTACAGGAATTAAGCCATATTGCTTTCTTGCTTTTATAGTTGTGTCTTTAGAAGCTTCAATATTCTTTTTTAACTGTTCTAATGCTTCATAATATTGCGGAGAAAAAGAAAATTAGGATATTATTAAATATCCTTTATTTTATTTTTATTAAAATGAACCTTTTTTTTTTATCTGTTTTGGTCGTCTTTTAAGTAAAATGTGAATCCTGTAGTTATTCATTTTAGAAGTCTGTAACTCAACACCCAGTTTGTATGAGATTATATATAAATTTATCCTAAAGAGATATAGGGAATAAAATTTCGATCAACATGCACAATTTTGACCTTGTAAGTACTTAATTTCCGATTAACATGTACAATTTTGGCGGTGCTGGGGAATTATTTCTACATTTGTAGAAATAATTTTCAACCGTTCGATAATTCCACAATTCCACAAATAGCAGAGGTCTTTTTCGATTGCTTTGCATTATTAAGCTCGTCGAATTTAACTCGAATTTGCATCAGGAGGAGTGAAATAGTGATGACGCAAAAATTTGGCGATCCTGTGATTTTTATCAAATCCGATTGTAAGATCAGTGTGTAATATACAAATGCGCGAAGTAATGATATCATTGTTGGTTTTAATTAGTCACGGGACCGCCAAATTTTTGCGCCAAAGGAGAGCATTGAATACAAAGTAAATTTCTAATAATATAATATAATTGGAAATTTTACTTTGTATGTACAGTATGTACGTATGTACTCGCAGGAATCACTAAACGATTGAAAATTATTTCCATATGTAGAAATAATTTCCACACCATAATTTACAGTACTGCAGTTAAAGTATTTACATGTCATGATAATTGAATTTTATTTCTGTATATCTCTAGGATAAATGTAATCTCATACGAACATGAACTAGGCATTGAGATACAGACCTCTAAATGCTTAACTACAGGATTCGCGTTTTTCTTAAAAAATGACAAAACAGACAATTATTTTAAAAACTATTTTAGGCAATCACACTGTATTATTGCTTTGAATAAGTCTATTGTTATGGTCGGGATAAGGGCAGTATCATTTATCACCTGATTTTTTTTTATCAGAGGCATACCCCCCTCCCCCCTTCTTATTATATATTTAATCAGGTCTTT